TTTTGCCATTATTTTGCTTATAAGCTTTGTTAATATTTTATTGAAACATTTTAATTAATGCCTTGCAAAAGTATTCATCCCCCTTGGCGTTTTTCCTATTTTGTTGCATTACAACTTGTAATTTAAATTGATTTTTATTTGGATTTCATGTAATGGACATACACAAAATAGTCAAAATTGGTGAAGTGAAATTCTAAAAAATAAATAACAGAAAAGTGGTGCCTGCATATGTACCCTTTCTATAAGCCCCTAAATAAGATCTGGTGCAATCAATTACAGTTGAAGTCGGAAGTTTACATACACCTTAGCCAACTACATTTAAACTCAGTTTTTCACAATTCCTGACATTTAATCATAGTAAAAATTCCCTGTCTTAGGTCAGTTAGGATCACCACTCTATTTTAAGAATGGGAAATGTCAGAATAATAGTAGAGAGAATGATTTATTTCAGCTTTTATTTCTTTCATCACATTCCCAGTGGGTCAGAAGTTTACATACACTCAATTAGTATTTGGTAGCATTGTCTTTAAATTGTTTAACAAGGATCAAACTATTCGGGTAGCTTTCCACAAGCTTCCCACAATAAGTTGGGTGAATTTTGACCCATTCCTCCTGACAGAGCTGGTGTAACTGAACCAAGTTTGTAGGCCTCCTTGCTTTTACACACTTTTTCAGTTCTGCCCACACATTTTCTATAGGATTAAGGTCAGGGCTTTGTGATGGCCACTCCAATACCTTGACTTTGTTGTCCTTAAGCCATTTTGCCACAACTTTGGAAGTATGCTTGGGGTCATTGTCCATTTGGAAGACCCATCTGCGACCAAACCTTATCTTCCTGACTGATGTCTTGAGATGTTGCTTCAATATATCCACATAATTTTCCTTCCTCATGATGCCATATGTTTTGTGAAGTGCACCAGTCCCTCCTGCAGCAAAGGACCCCCACAGCATGATGCTGCCAGCCCCGTGCTTCACGGTTGGGATGGTGTTCTTCGGCTTGCAAGCAACCCCCTTTTTCCTCTAAACACAACAATGGTCATTATGGCCTAACAGTTCTATTTTTGTTTAATCAGACCAGAGGATATTTCTCAAAAAGTAAGATCTTTGTCCCCATGTGCAGTTGCAAACCGTAGTCTGGCTTTTTTATGGCGGTTTTGGAGCAGTGGCTTCTTCCTTGCTGAGCGGCCTTTCAGGTTATGTCGATATAGGACTCATTTTACTGTGGATATAGATACTTTTGTACCTGGTTCCTCCAGCATCTTCACAAGGTTCTTTGCTGTTGTTCTGGGATTGATTTGAACTTTTCGCACCAAAGTACGTTCATCTCTAGGAGACAGAACGCGTCTCCTTCCTGAGCGGTATGATGGCTGCGTGGTCCCATGGTGTTTATACTTTCGTACTATTGTTTGTACAGATGAACATGGTACCTTCAGGCGTTTGGAAATTGCTCCCAAGGATGAACCAGACTTGTGGAGGTCTACAATTCTTTTTCTGAGGTCGTGTCTGATTTCCTTTGATTTTCCCATGATGTCAAGCAAAGAGGCACTGAGTTTGAAGGTAGGTGTCACGTATTCTGCCGAGGCTGCTCCTCCTCCTTGCTCGGGCAGGCTTCGGCGTTCGTCGTCCCCGGAGTACTAGCTGCTGCCGTTCGATGTTATCGGTGTCTGTTTAGTGTTGTCTGTATTGTTTACACCTGTTCGTCATTATGGTTGATTGTTGCCCTTATATTATCCCCTGTCTCTCATCGGGATATTGTGTGTGATTGTTTTCCCTTCACGTATGTCTTTAGTGAGCGGGTTATTTCCTCCCTGCGTGGAGTTATTTCTGTGTTCATATGGTCAGTATCGGATTATAGTACGTGTCCGAGAGTTCTGTGTCCTGCACCTGACTTCTTCATCCGCATCTCACCGACAGCCGTGACAGTAGGCCTTGAAATACATCCAAAGGTACACCTCCAATTGACTCAAATTATGTCAATTAGGCTATCAGAAGTTTCTAAAGCCATGACATCATTTTCTGGAATTTTCCAAGCTGTTTAAAGGCACAGTCAACTTAGTGTATGTAAACTTCTGACCCACTGGAATTGTGATACAGTGAATTATAATTGAAATAATCTGTCTGTAAACAATTGTTGGAAAAATTACTTGTGTCATGCACAAAGTAGATGTCCTAACTGACTTGCCAAAACTATAGTTTGTTAACAAGAAATTTGTGGAGTGGTTGAAAAACGAGTTTTAATGACTCCAACCTAAGTGTTTGTAAACTTACGACTTCAACTGTACCTTCAGAAGTCACATAATTAGTTAAATAAAGTCCACCTGTGTGCATTCTAAGTGTCACATGATCTGTCACATGATCTCAGTATATATACACCTTTTCTGAAAGGCCCCAGAGTCTGCAACACCACTAAGCAAGCGGCAACATGAAGACCAAGGAGCTCTCCAAACAGGTCAGGGACAAAGTTGTGGAGAAGTACAGATCAGGGTTGGGTTATAAAACACATCTGAAACTTTGAACATCCCACGGAGCACCATTAAATCCATTATGAAGAAATGGAAAGAATATGGCACCTCAACAAACCTGCCAAGAGAGGGCCGCCCACCAAAACTCACGGACCAGGCAAGGAGGGCATTAATCAGAGAGGCAACAAAGAGACCAAAGATAATCCTGAAGGAGCTGCAAAGCTCCACAGTGTAGATTGGAGGATATGTCCATAGGACCACATTAACCCGTACACTCCACAGAGCTGGGCTTTACGGAAGAGTGGCCAGAAAAAATACATTGATTAAAGAAAAAAATAAGCAAACACGTTTGGTGTTCACCAAAAGGCATGTGGGAGACTCCCCAAACATATGGAAGAAGGAACTCTGGTCAGATGAGACTAAAATTGAGCTTTTTGGCCATCAAGGAAAACGCTATGTCTGGCGCAAACCCAACACCTCTCATCACCCCGAGAACACCATCCCCACAGTGAAGCATGGTGGTGGCAGCATCATGCTGTGGGGATATTTTTCATCGGCAGGGACTGGGAAACTGTTCAGAATTGAAGGAATGATGGATGGCGCTAAATACAGGGAAATTCTTGAGGGAAACCTATTTCAGTCTTCCAGAGATTTGAGACTGGGACGGAGGTTCACCTTCCAGCAGGACAATGACCCTAAGCATACTGCTAAAGCAACACTCAAGTGGTTTAGGGGGAAACATCTAAATGTCTTGGAATGGCCTAGTCAAAGCCCAGACCTCAATCCAATTGAGAATCTGTGGTATGACTTAAAGATTGCTGTACACCAGCGAAACCCATCCAACTTGAAGGCGCTGGAGCAGTTTTGCCTTGAAGAATGGGCAAAAATCCCAGTGGCTAGATGTTCCAAGCTTATAGAGACATACCCCAAGAGACGTGCAGCTGTAATTGCTACAAAAAGTGGTTCTACAAAGTATTGACTTTGGGGGGGGGTCAATAGTTATGCACGCTCAAGTTTTCTTTTTTTTGTTTTCTTTTTTCTTGTTTGTTTCACAAAAATTTATATTTTGCATCTTCAAAGTGGTAGGCATGTTGTGTAAATCAAATGATACAAACTCCCCAAAAATCCATTTTTTTATTCCAGGTTGTAAGGCAACAAAATAGGAAGAATGCCAAGGGGGGTGAATACTTTTGCAAGCCACTGTATGTGTCTATAATCAGCAGTTGACTCTCCAGATGTTCCTGGTTTTAATATAACTGAAAAGAACAGTTTGATACATGGAACTACGAAGTGCAGAATTGAGTAAATAAATCGGGGGGCTACTTTGTCCCAAAATGTTAAATAGAATTCTATGGAAAAGCCACCCATTCCTGGTGTTTTTCTCAGTGCGAATGTTTTAACAGTATCTAATTTTAGCGGCAAGAGGTAGTACATTCAGAAGTATTTTCAGGAGGCAATTCATATCGTTGCAGAGGCAGTGGCCTTGATCAAGCTAATGTTTTCAAGGTTACCAGGCAGGGCCTTGGTGCATTGCCATCTATCATGTTGGAAGCGAAAGGACATCGCAATCGTCAAACAAGCCACACGTCTGGCTTATGACCAGGCAGATGTCTATGGGTTGTATAAGTGTGTGCGTGTGCATGTGCGTGTGCGCGTACCTGTGCAGGGGAGCATAATAGACAATGTTTGCAGCTCTCCTCTAAGGGCAACATGCCCTGGATAACAGTTGTATTGCAGCATTGGCCAGCACTACCGCCACTTCCTTGCCAAACTGGCCTATGTTGTTGGAACAGGCAGGAGCCCAGACTAACAAGTAACAGCATGCCTCTGAAACAGTCCTATAATCGCGGCTCCATTTACTGTTTGCCCATAACAACAGATTTAAGTTCAGCCTTTCTCTACCCTTGTCCTAACCTTAACCATAATGATCCAAATAGGACAACAGGCCCAGCATAATGTACCAAAACGGTAATAGCCTCATACTGTCTGAGCTATTATCTAAGCTCTAAGTCTCTCGTTCTCTCTCTCCATCCAGGAAAGACAGGCTTTTCATCCAGTGAGAACAGCAGGACTCTTTGTGGTGGATGGATCAAAGGAACTTTGGAGAACTTCGATCGCCGCAATGAGTCAGAATAGACGAGCATATCGAGTGGCTTTAGTTTTCCGTGATAAAAGCTTTTAGAGGTTTTTGGACAACAGATTGGAGGTGGGTAGAGAATGGCTAAACATTGTTTAGAGAGTAAACAAAAGGCTATCGACAAAATAGTTTAGACTGATACTTTGACAGCTATAATCCTTTTCAACCCTTGGTCTTTAAAGTGTTTTGTCTATAAATGTTTTTGACATGTATAAACAGTAACTTCAATAGCACATTTGTAGATGCACTGCCACCAGGACCAAGTATTTAGGTGGCAAAGTAAAGAATATTATGATGTGACCTCTACGGTGTCCATATTAGGACAGCATCTGCAACTTCCATGTGATCAGCAAGAAAACTCATTATATACAGTAACTGTAAGGTGCTGGTGAACCTACCAGCGTGGTGAAGATGTAGTGGTAGTACTCCGTCATCATTCCCATGGCTAGAGCCTGTGGGAAAACCACAATACTGACTATGGTCAAAGTACCTAAACAAATATACAGCATAGTGAGACAATATGCTAAACACATCTGGTGAATTTCCTATGAACTTTTAACATATTTTAGGCAACACACAGTGCAGATAATCATTGAAATCTTTCAATGTCGTCAAACCCACTGGCTCCAGGTCATCTATAAATCACTGCTAGGCAAATCCCCGCCTTATCTTAGCTCATTGGTCACCATAGCAACACCCACCCGTAGTATGCACTCCAGCAGGTATGTCTCACTGGTCATCCCCAAAGCCAAGACCTCCTTTGGCCGCCATTCCTTCCAGTTCTCTGCTGCCAATGACTGGAACGAACTGCAAAAATCTCTGAAACTGGAGACTCTTATCTCCCCCACTAACTTTAAGCATCAGTTGTCAGAGCAGCTTACCGATCACTGCACCTGTACACAGCCCATCTGTAATTAGCCCACCCAACTACCTCATCCCCATATTGTTATTTATTTTGCTCATTTGCACCCCAATATCTCTATTTGCACATCATCTTCTGCACATCTATCACTCCAGTGTTAATACTAAATTGTAATTATTTTGCACTATGGCCTATTTATTGCCTTACCTCCATAATTTACTACATTTGCACACACTGTATATAGATTTTCTATTGTGTTATTGACTGTACGTTTTGTTTCTTTCCATATGTAACTTTGTGTTGTTGTTGTTTTTATCGCACTGCTTTGCTTTATCTTGGCCAGGTCGCAGTTGTAAATGAGAACTTGTTCTCATCTGGCTTACCTGGTTAAATAAAGGTGAAAAAAAAATATATATATATATATATTTAAAAAATGCCATGATTCAGCACACATTTTCTAGCGGATGTTTCACATTGAGGCAATGTTGGTAGGAATGCTGGATATAATTTGCAAACTGAACACTTGACACAATACAATGTAATATACTCTGCCCGAAAACGTGTGTTTGGCAATGGATATGAGCACTTCTCATTAACAATGTGACAGAGATTAATCGTAATGTCTCAAACATGCCTGCGAGCAGAGGCAGAGTTGCTAATTAAAACTGTATTTTGGCATAGAGCATCCATTATGGAAATACAGTAATGGAACTGTAATATTCTAAAAAAGGAGATAAACAAGTAAAATTAGATATCCAAATGAGTCTGATTCAGATAAAAAGGAATTGAATGACCAAACTGTAGGTATTGGACCTGAAACCATAAGTATGAGATATTCAATGAGGGATCATTCTGGAGCTAATTCATATAAATAAATCTCCAATCCAAGAAATCTGACAAAGTCCAACCCGTCTCTGGTTTCAAAATGGTTCTGAGAAAGACCTAAGACAGACACTGACCTGTTTCAGGATCCAGGCGGCCATTACGTGGCCGCAGTCAAAGATCACATGGAACTCCTTTGCTTTCTTCATCTCTTTCAGAAGTGGCTTGGCGTCCTTGGTCTCCGTCGGCAACTGTCGGATCTTCAAACGAATGTTGAATCGGGAGGGGGCCTTGATCAGCTCCTGCAACCGAATAAGACCTGGAGACCAGAAATGGACAACTTATACAAGAGTGACAGGAATTTGAAAAATAAGTATGAACTTGAAATTAATATAAGTGCCATTGGAAAAGGCGTACAGTTCAAATGCAAATCTTTAAAATAAAACAGCCCAAATACATGGCTCTCTATTCCATAGTTGATTTGATTCTCCCACTCACACTTGGCAAACATACACATAGGGCGGTATTCTGACTCTTCTAATCACTGGCAAATCATTCAATGGTGTCAATGGTTGACTTGCACAATTGTATTTTGAGGCAAATCAGAATACCACCCATGATACAGTATTGAAGAACTGTCAACAGAGCTCTGCACCAACTCAACACATATTTTTCTCATACACCAAAAAGCACTTTACTTCAGTAGAGTCCAGCTTCATCGAAGAAGCACCTTAAAAATGCCAGTTCACACACTACTCCCTATTCTAGCGTGGAATGACTTAAATCTGTTAGTGTTGGAAGCCACAGTCAATCCATTCTCACTTTCTCTCTCCCAAGGTACTGTTCTGATTTGAGCCTCTGTTTGCCTGACTACTCCCCCCTAGGGAGGCCCCATATAACCTTAACACCGCCTCATATTGAGCAACAATCTGCACCTTTCATTTCCCCACCCGCACTCAGCTAGAAACCTCTCAGAGAGACACTGATGAGATTACAATGAGTTTCTCCTCTCCACAGAGGACTTCTGAGCCTTGGGATGAAGTAGGGCTGGATTGATGGTAGAAATGATTACTTGTCATGGGTGTAAAAATGGGGAGGGAGTCTGGGAGAGAGAAGAAAGGGGTTTTGAAGAAGCACTTTAGGACTGCTCAGAACTTTTTGTTGGAACGAAGTGCTGTGTGGGCAATTGAATGGTCTTACTGTGAGTGGGGGCTGATTCTCCCTCGGGAGTTTCAATAGGGATTGCTGTGAAATAAGAATAAGGAATGTGTTATCTTGTGTTGGAAGGAAATACTGCAGTTTTTTGTGAGGGAGATAGGTATTCCAAAATCTGGGATCTTCGCCTCAGGTAATCCCAGAAGATCCCTACTCCAGGGCATCTCTCCCTTCTCTGTTTTGGTCCGTACAGACACTTGGGAGGCGTAAGCGGAAAATCGTTCAGCATATGGGATAGACTGTCAGGGCCGATGTTTGTGGGGCTCTGGATAATGCCTTCTGACTTTCCCTTCCCGATCCTCAGAAGGCTGTGTGTGAATATTTTATTTTATCCCCTCTGATAGTTCTTTCCGCCAGATGTCAGATAGGCTCCAATCAGGGGTGAACGTCCTGGAGCATGAAGCTGTGTGATTACAGACCAAGTGTGTGAGTGTGTGTGTGTGTGTGTGTGTGTGTGTGGTTGACATCACCCAGGCTCTCTCACCCCAACTCTGTCACTGTGAGGTGGTATGTTAACCTAAAAACGCTCCCCCGAGGAGGAAACTATCATCAGGCTTACCTGGTTTCGAGTGACCCTACCCTTAAATAATCTCTAACACCATCCCTAGAGTCCTTTTTGGGGGAATCAATGCATGCCAGTGGGCAGTGTTATGGAGGTGAGGGTGATGATAAATGGATGCATCCCAAATGGCACCCTATTCCCTTTAGAGCGCACTACTTTTGACCAGTCCAAAAGTAGTGCACTACATAGAGAATATTGTGTAAATATTGACACATCCAATGAGGAGGAGTGGAACAGTGGCAAATGAGATGACTCATTGCAGCGGACGGTGAGTTGGACCATTCACTGTGACCTTAGCCAAGGTTAATACACTGTCACCATGCTACAGTGGCGGCTCTCCACAAAGTAAATGGATGTGACAGAGACATGGTCACCCTATCACTGAGCCATTCATTTCAATTAACACCGAATAATAAATCCTGATGGTTGATCTATCCTCTACCAGTTGATTGTAAAAGGTAAGACTGAATCCCTAATCAACCTATGCACTTGTGTAGATCGAACCAGATTTAATAGGTGTAGTAGCTTAATCTTGCTCTCTGAAAGGACAGTATGAGCTAGGGATCGATTTGTGATTCAGGGTAAGACACCTCATGACACCAATGTAGTAAAAAGAGGTGTAAAATGTGCCAAAAATACAGAACTTCAACTGAAGAAGCCACCACAATTGGACATATTCAACAATAGACTCACCATGCAACCCATGTATTTGTAACAAACAAGTATGTTCAACATATTTAATCCAATTACGCTCCATGAAGTGGACAACCTTGTCCTTCCAAAGGATCGTAAAATAAGAGACATACATATATATAACAGTACTCAACAGTGTAAAATATTACTCTGCTTTTAAAAATGCATATCACAGCAGGCGATCCGGCAGACGGATACAGCAGTGGACGAGGACCCTCAAAGGACGAGTCTGTCTTTTATTCATGGCTGCTGTCAGCTCTCACGTTCATTCTGCATGGCATTAATCTGAGGAGACTCGGGGAGAGGGTCATTCTGGGTAATGTGGTTTTTCAGGGCTGCTCACTCATATAGAGGGCTCCAGTTTTGACGTGGAGTACACCTGGAGGACTTTGAGGGGCTAAAGATTTCATGGCCAGACATTCAATGCTAAACTCTTGAGGGAAAGAATAGAACAGTTCTACTCTTCTGCACCTAAACACATTTTGGGAGGAGCACATTTAAGCCGCAGCACCCCTGGACTTATGCAGGGTATTAGTGCCTTGCTCAAGTGCATGACAATTAATCTCCCACTTTTATTGCCCAGCCCAAGACTCAAACCGGCAACGTCCAAGCTACTAACCTCTCGGCTACCTACCACCCCTATAAAACGGTGTGTTTATGTTTGAGTAGCAGTTTTTTTAGTTTAATCTCAAATATTTGTTTATGTCTTTCACCTTTTGATCATCATCTTCATCATCATCATCAATCATCCAAGATATCTGTACCTGTACCTGTGCTGTCGTCATAGACCACAGTGACCGTCCTCCATTTGAAGAAGTGGACCAGGTCCAGGATGGCCCGGCTGAGGGACTGGAAGTCCGGGTAGAGGCTGACGTAGTACGAGTCCCTGTTGTCCGACACCTGGTGCTTCCACTTGGCCTGGATGTGGGGCACCCCCAGGGCATTACAAATGGACTGGACTGCGTTGGCTGACGAGCTGTGGGAGGGGCCAAAGATGGCCGCCACCCCCAAGGACAGCTGGTCACAGGCTGGGGGGTAGGAGGCAGAGAGAGGTGTTTGTTAGATTTGTGTTTAGGTGGAAGCCTTCGGCTCCTCTCAGCTCTACTGCATGCAATGCACCATGGGAATACTGATCAAGAAAGACCCTAGTCTCTCCCTCATTAGATCAAGAGGGATGTCATTGAATCAAGAGGAATGTCAGTCACACTTTGCATTGAGTCTCACGGATACAAGTAGGCAGTTTTGGGGAGTAGTGAACTACATGTAGTTCAACTAGTAATTTAAATATATTTTGCAGTAGCTTGTTGGTAGTTGAACTTAATTCAAGTAAATTATATTTTTCTTAAGGGTAGTTTTAGTGTAGCTTAACTTCTTCCAGTGCAAAGTAATTGGTAGCTTTGTAAACTATGTTTTCAGAGTAGCTTCCCCAACAATGCTAGTAGGAGTAAGTACATAGCATCTTGATTTACCTAACTAGACTATAACGCTTACTATAATATAAGATCTCAGCCTGGACTTGATACTTTTTTTTGCTATTTGTCACTTATTTATTTCAAAATGTCAAATCAAATACTATAAACACATTTCTTGTATATAACTTAATTGAGCACATCAGATGCAATCAGTTTGTAGGCAGCATCAGCTAAATATTCTTAACAGCTAATCAGAGTCATTCTCAATAAATGTATATTCCCACATTTCACACCTGCAAAAAAACAGCCACCATTATTTTTGTCATAATCTCCCACAAACAAACAAAAAACATAAATAAATAACTAATCCCAGAGATACTCAGAATTAGCAATGCTAATAACAGATGTAGCTGTCTTACTATTGCAACCTGTAGAATCTAGACCACCATCTTGCAATTATTCATGATACCCTTTTGTAATGGCAGATTAATAATAATTCATTAATAACAAAGGAGCCTTACTCAATCTATCATATTTCATGTGAAGTCTTCCTATCACAACTTTGATCCCTACCGCCATATGCTCCCACCCCAATGATCATCTGTGTTCTTACACCCGACCTGCTCCTCAACTAAACTGGAACTGATCCACTGCAGGACTGAGCATTTCCATTGCAGCTCCATCCCAGCCATGGTTTGTCTGCTGAACAGATGACAATCAACATCATTTTTGCCTATATCTGTTGTTTATTGTATTTCAGTACAATCAATTGTACTCACAATTTAGCATGTGGCTGCCATTTGTACAATGTTCTGTTGAAAAAACAGTAAAATAAACTCTCTCTCTCTCTCTCTCTCTCTCTCTCTCTCTCTCTCCCTCTCTCTCTCTCAGACCTGGATTCTGATAGGTGCATTATAGCTGTGGAATAGTCCCAAGAATGCAAACCCCGCCCATCTGGCACTCCAGGCAGGCTCAAACAACCACTCAGAATGTATTTTATCCCAGGGGTGTATTCACTAGCAACCAAACAGAAGCAAATGGCTATAACAGGAAAGGACTAACCTGAACTTGTCCAATAAGAAAGGCTTGCTTTCTTTGCTAATTGTTTCCCGATGCAAAACGTTTTGCTACGGTGTGCACTAATGAACACACCCGATGTCTGCTTCCTATCCTCCTCATCCACTCACCTTTTCTGGAGGCCTCGAAGCTGTCGAAGATGTTTATTCTCTGGATGTCATATGTGAGTGTGGTGTTGGGCAGCAGGGTGCGGTTCCTGTTGATTGTGTTCAAGGCAAATTTAAAGGCGAGTTCCTCTGCTCCTGACGGGCCGCTTTCAATGGATTCAAATATTCCTCCTGAAGGAAAAGATAACAGGTGAAAGTACAACAAGGTTCAATTTCAATTTCCTCATCCCATAATTACAATGGATTTTCCTCTAACACAACACGTGACATTGAAGTGTGGGCAGATGATCGATATAGCGAAGGCTATTATAGCTGTGTATATTCTTTCCCAGGACATTGTAATGATTATTTACTCAGTTCCCTTCATGTCCTTTCCTATTAAACAACAGTGTCATAATCGACATGCGTTAATTGATATGAGCAGTGGAGAGAGAGCTAGCTTTATTATGGTGTTTTGGACTGTCAACTGAGGAGAGCTGCATTTGCCTTCACTTACTGGTCTGTGTAATTAACAACGATTAGTGGGGACGGGAGGTGAGTTAAGGGGTCATGACTCCCTCTCTCTCCCTTCCAGTACAGACAACTTATCAGGGAGGTTCAGTGTGTAGACCGTGGACCGTTAACGGTCTTAGCACTACCACAAACAGCCCAAGGATCCTTCCACCCACACCATCCAGACCTCTCAGTGAAGTGCAGTTACCATGGCGATCAGAGGTCTCTCTCTCAGTAGTGAACTAAACCCCTTTCAACTTTTGAATTATTTACAGTCTCCATGATTGGAAAATCCTCTCCAGATGCTTCGCTTTCACGCTGTTCAGAATCATTAACCGAATTGACAGCAACTAGTGTATAGTATTGAATGGACCCTAAAAATGAGATAAAGTTATTATGTAGTAGTAGTTTAACATCCAAATACCTCAATAAATAATCCATAGACCTCCTAATAATCCCAATAACATACAAGTATTAGATGACAGTACCATCAAGCAAAGACTTTCATGTAAACTCCCCTCAAAATTCAAAGTCCACCATTCAACAAAGTAATGGCACACCACTGAGCATTGACTTTGACTAAATCTGACCCGAGACTTTAAATTGAATGACTAAAGGGAGAGGATGAATGAAACTCAAATAAATATTTTCAGACACGTCATTCCAGAGTTCAGGAGTCCAAAGTTGCCTCCCTATAGCTTTGTTTCCTGGGCGAGCTGAGAGTTTGCCGTGATCCAAGCTGAAAGAGTTTCACTGAGCATTAAAGCCTGTTTATTGATTAAATTATAGCAGAGGAGAGAGGAAGAGAGAGAGGCAGAGACAGAGAAAAAAGAGAGAGGGAGTGAGAGGAAGAACGAGAGAGGGAGAGAGCAAAGGAAAAAGGACCAGAGCCCACTGTCCCAGACCCTCTTCAAAGGGAAATAGGAAGAAAATAAGTGAGGAGGAGAGAGAGAAGGAGAGAAAGTGTGAGGAGAGATAGAGTGAGAGACCAAAGGAAGAGAGCATACGAAGATGGGAAGAGAAGGAGTGAGGAGGACAGATAGAGGGAGAGGGGGAACAAAGAGAAGACATCCGAGCAGTGGCAGGTGCGAAAGCAGTGACTGAGAGAAGAATACTTACATATTTAGATGGCGCCGGAGAAGATGGCTGCCGTTTTACAGCCCTCTAACCAATTGTACTATTATGTGTGTTTTCCGCGTTATTTGTAATTTATTTTGTACATAATGTTTCTGCCATCGTATAACCAAAAAGAGCTTCTGGATATCAGGACAGCGATTACTCACCTCGTATTGGACGAAGATTTTTTCTTCAACGAGGCGGCCGCGAAGGATATCCTACAGACACCCGACAAGGCCCAAATCCCCGTCATTCGCATGAGGAAGAGACAGAGATATCATGGACGTAGGTCGGGGTGCCTTGTAAGGATTCGACGGCGAGCGAGTACACTGCCTCTCCCATCAATCCTATTAGCCAATCTTCAATCATTTGAGAATAAATTGGATGACCTAAGATTACGGTTATCCTACCAATGGGACATAACATTTTTTTATATCTTATGTTTCACAGAGTCGTGGCTGAACGACGACATGGACAACATACAGCTACATTTACATTTTAGTCATTTAGCAGACGCTCTTATCCAGAGCGACTTACAGTTAGTGAATACATTTTTTTTTTTTATACTGGCCCCCCGTGGGAATCGAACCCACAACCCTGGCGTTGCAAACGCCATGCTCTATCAACTGAGCTACATCCCTGCCGGCCATTCCCTCCCCTACCCTGGACGACGCTGGGCCAATTGTGCGCCGCCCATGAGTCTCCCGGTCGCGGCCGGCTGCGACAGAGCCTGGATTCGAACCAGGATCTCTAGTGGCACAGTTAGCACTGCGATGCAGTGCCTTAGACCACTGCGCCACTCAGGAGTTTGCGGGCTATACGCTACATCGGCAGGATAGAACGGCTGACTCTTGTAAGACAAGGGGTGGCGGTCTGTGTATATTTGTAAACAACAGCTGGTGCACAAAATCAAATACTAAGGAAGTCTCAAGGTTTTGCTCGCCTGAGGTAGAGTATCTTATGATAAGCTGTAGACAACACTATTTACCAAGAGAGTTTTCATCTATATTTTTCATAGCAGTCTATTTACCACCACAAACAAATGCTGGCATTAAGATTGCACTGAATGAGCTGTATAAGGCCATAAGTCAACAGGAAAACGCTCATCCAGAGGCAGCGCTCCTAGTGGCCGGGGACTTTAACGCAGGGAAACTTAAATCCGTTCTACCTAATTTCTACCAGCATGTTAAATGTGCAACCAGAGGAAAAAAAACTCTAGACCACCTTTACTCCACACACAGAGACGCATACAAAGCTCTCCCTCGCCCTCCATTTGGCAAATCTGACCATAACTCCATCCTCCTGATTCCTGCTTATCAGCAAAAACTAAAGCAGGAAGCACCAGTGACTCGGTTAATAAAAAAGTGGTCAGATGGCGCAGATTCTAAGCTACAGGACTGTTTTGGTAGCACAGACTGGAACATGTTCCGGGATTCTTCAGATTGCATTGAGGAGTACACCACATCAGTCACTGGCTTCATCAATAAGTGCATCGATGATGTCGTCCCCACAGTGACCGTACGTACATACCCCAACCAGAAGCCATGGATTACAGGAAACATCCGCACTGAGCTAAAGGGTAGAGCTGCCGCTTTCAAGGAGCGGGAATCCTGCTTTGCCCTCCGACGAACCATCAAACAGGCAAAGAGTCAATACAGGACTAAGATTGAATCGTACTACACCGGCTCTGACGCTCGTCGGATGTGGCAGGGCTTGAAAACTATTACAGACTACAAAGGGAAGCACAGCCACGAGCTGCCCAGTGACACAAGACTTCCAGACAAGCTAAACCACTTCTATGCTCACTTCAAGGCAAGCAAAACTGAAGCATGCATGAGAGCACCAGCTGTTCCGGATGACTATGTGAACACACTCTCCGTAGCCGATGTGAGTAAGACTTTTAAGCAGGTCACTATTCACAAGGCCGCAGGGCCAGACGGATTACCAGGACGTGTACTCCGAGCATGTGCTGACCAACTGGCAAGTGTCTTCACTGACATTTTCAACATGTCCCTGACTGAGTCTGTAATACCAACATGTTTCAAGCAGACCACCATAGTCCCCGTGCCCAAGGACACTAAGATAACTTGCCTAAATGACTACCGACCCGTAGCACTGACGTCTGTAGCCATGAAGTGCTTTGAAAGGCTGGTCATGGCTCACATCAACACCATTATCCCAGAAACCCTAGACCCACTCCAATTTGCATACCGCCCCAACAGATCCACAGATGATGCAATCTCTATTGCACTCCACACTGCCCTTTCCCACCTGGACAAGAGGAACACATACGTGAGAATGCTATTCATTGACTACATCTCAGCATTCAACACCATAGTGCCCTCAAAGCTCATCACTAAGCTAAGGATCCTGGGACTAAACACCTCCCTCTGCAACTGGATCCTGGACGGGCCGCCCCCAGGTGGTAAGGGTAGGTAAACACACATCTGCCACACTGATCCTCAACACGGGGGCCCCTCAGGGGTGCGTGCTCAGTCCCCTCCTGTACTCCCTGTTCACCCATGACTGCATGGCCAAGCACGACTCCAACACCATCATTAAGTTTGCCGACGACACAACAGTGGTAGGCCTGATCACCGACAACGACGAGACGGAAGGAGGTAGGAAGGAGGTCAGAGACCTGGCCGTGTGGTGCCAGGATAACAACCTCTCCCTCAACGTGACCAATACAAAGGAGATGATTGTGGACTACAGGAAAAAAAAGAGGACTGAGCACGCCCCCATTCTCATCGACGGGGCTGTTGTGGAACAGGTTGAGAGCTTCAAGCTCCTTGGTGTCCACATCACCAACGAACTATCATGGTCCAAACAAACCAAGACAGTCGTGAAGAGGGCACGACAAAACCTATTTCCCCTCAGGGGACTGAAAAGATTTGGCATGGGTCCTCAGATCCTCAAAAAATTCTACAGCTGCACCATCGAGAGCATCCTGACTGGTTGCATCACCGCCTGGTATGGCAACTGCTTTCCTACGACCGCAAGGCACTACAGAGGGTAGTGCGTACGGCCCAGTACATCACTGGGGCCAAGCTTCCTGCCATCCAGGACCTCTATACCAGGCGGTGTCAGAGGAAGGCCTTCAAAATTGTCAAAGACTCCAGCCACCCTAGTCATAGACTGTTCTCTCTGCTACCGCATGGTAATAATAACAATAATAATATACCATTTAGCAGACGCTTTTATCCAAAGCGACATACAGTCATGCGTGCATACATTTTTTTTTTGTGTATGGGTGGTCCCGGGGATCGAACCCACTACCTTGGCGTTACAAGCGCCGTGCTCTACCAGCTGAGCTACAGAGGACCACGGTAAGCGGTACCGGAGTGCCAAGTCTAGGTCCAAAATACTTCTCAACAGTTTCTACCCCCAAGCCATAAGACTCCTGAACAGCTAATCATGGCTACCCAGACTATCTGCACTGTTCACTGTAATGTCTGCACCTTTTGTATTCGGCGCATGTGGCCAATAAAATTTGATTTGATTTGAAGATAGTGTGAAAGAAACAGACCCTACCAGCTAGGCTTCATCGATAATTGTCAT